AGGATCCGAGCCAGGATTCAAGCCAGGATTCGAGCCAGGATTTGAGCTAAGAACCGAGCAGGATTAGTTAAGATGAGCTTTGTACGACATGTCGCATGACCTGGTTTCCTTGTTTGCATTACCCCTTTTGTCTCATCACAAGTCGTGCAAAGTAATGCGTAGGAAGTGTTATATTCTGTTGTGCTGTTTGTGCCAAATATTTCTTTCAAACATTTCTTTCAATCTTGATTTTCCCTTCTAGCCCGGTAATGTTTTGCGGTGAAAAAGTTGCAAGCTAAACTACAAAAATATTGGCTATTATCTTCTAAATATATTTATCTATGGAAGTGCCAAAAAGCCTGATGAGAAAAAAAGTAAAGAAGACGAGCAAACTGAGATAAACTAAGAATAAAGCCAGGATCCGAGCCAGGATTCGAGCCAGGATCCGAGCCAGGATCCGAGCTAGGATCCGAGCTAGGATCCNCGAGCCAGGATCCGAGCTAGGATTTGAGCTAGGATCCGAGCCAGGATTTGAGCCAGGATTTGAGCTAGGATCCGAGCTAGGTTTTGAGCTAGGATCTGAGCCACAGGGCGCAGGCACAGTGTTGAATTTGTAAAGCCGGCGAGCGTATATATACTTTTTTATTTACTAGGTAAATGAAAAGTAGTTTCAGGCGAGAGAAAATCTTCGTTTGAATGAAAAACTATTTTACGTGAACATCCAGGAACACTGAAAGTTTTTTGATAACTTAGTAGATTTACTAGTGAATTTCTTTTTGATAATACTAACACATTTCACTTTGGCGGCGTCCAAGTGTATTTCTACCAGAAACCTTGACTTAATCACCACAGGGATTCGAATAGTTGGATTTGTTCATTAAAAATGCTGACAAGGGCTTCGATTGTTTTTGCTGTAGGAATATATACGGTTTCTCTTTGCGTATAGTTTCTAGAGCTTTGATACATTGATGTCGAGTTTGATTTTATACAGTGCAAAAAATCTTGACATTTTAAGAGATAAACAGGGCGTTTTCATGCCAAACACGGCTATATTTAGTCGTGGAAAGAAATTTGATCGGGGCAGATTTTGATCACTCATTAGGTCACCACTGCACATAACGTAATCAACAAAACAACGCTATAATTTGTTACTTTTGGCAAGCTTTGTCCAAACACTTGATTATACCCATGTGCCTAAAATTTACTCCTTGTTTACAAATTGTTATCAAAAATTTAGTCGGTGGATGGTTTGCAGGCCGTCTCTTGTCCGTGAGGCAAAGTCACTTGCCTGGGAGTAAAATGTACTTGTCCCAAACGAGCGGACTGTGGTTTCTTTTTTAGCCCTGCACTAGCTACCAAACTTTCTGGAATGTTCAAATGCTCAAATTTTCCGATTTCTGTATATGTGTAATGCATGTGGCGTAACACTTGCACAAACAGCACAACAGAATATAACACTTCCTACGCGTTACTCTGCACGACTTGTGATGAGACAAAAGGGGTAACGCAAACAAGGAAACCAGGTCACGCGACATGTCGTAGAAAGTTCATCCTAAGGCCCAGTTCAGACGCCGAACTTTTCATGAGCCGAACTTAATTCGAATTTGGACCGACCCAAAT